AGCAATATTGTGAAATAGTATGACAATTAAACATTTCTGTTCTCTCTCTCTCTCTCTCTCTCTCTCTCTCTCTATATATATATATTTTTTTTTTAAATATAATTTATTACTGTAATAGCAAAGCTGAATTTTCAGCGGCCATTACTCCAGTCTTCAGTGTCACATGATCCTTCAGAAATCATTCTAATATCCTGATTTGATGCTCACAAAGCATTTTTTAAATGATCAACAATGTTGAAAATCATTGTGTGGATTAATATTTTTCTGTAAACTCTGATACAATTTTTTCAGGATTCTTGATTAATAGAACGTTCAAAGGAACAGTATTTAATCAAAAGAAATGTTTTGTAACATTAAATGCAGCTAAAAATGCATAGCATCTTTTACAAGGCAGGTGAAATGCTTCCCATATCTTTTGACGTCAAAAGGCATGTGTTCAATCAGACTCTACAGTATTTTGGCAGACATCCATCTGTCACTACAATAGCAGCCAACTAGACAGATGCAAACACGGATAGGTTGCGTGACATGCTTCATCCTCAAAACACAAACAAAGTAAAAGAAAATGAAAAATAGATTACACATTAAACACAGATTCACTTGTAATGAGGACCATGAAACCATAATAGTTCAAGAGAGATTTAGTTTGTTTTTAGAGTTATACTGTATAGCATGGTACCACATTCTAACATAAAATGCTACAAAAGATGTATTTTAAGTGTCATTTCTTAAATCGTACATAAAAGTCTTTATTATTCAATCACAACAAACAAAAACCTTCCGTATTGAACACGGATTAGGTCAAGTAATAGGAAGCTTTTGTCTTGGTGCCCAGCTGAGAGAGAGAGAGAGAGAGAGAGAGTGCTATAAGCTAGAGAAGCTGACATGGGCAGACACTGAGCCTATTGCACGCCTGCGTCCCTCCAAGAGAGAAGCTCAGGAACTAATCCACTGATCCGGGTGATTAGTGATTCTGTTTTGAGCTCTGTGGACTGGGTCTTGTAATAGAGAACAGGGCACAGTGCACACGAAGTAAAACAAAACAATACAACCCTATTTCCTGGCTAAGAAGCATTTATTATTCATTTATTTTGCATAGTTTATAACACAGAATGGAACCATGGAAGTCGTCAAAGTAACTTTAAAATGTTTGAATGTGTTGATGTTCCAGCTGGCTCAAGACAGATTTTAAAAAAGTTGTTTGTGAGGTGTTATAAATGAACTTTGGAGAGTCTGTCTTTCATAATAATGCAATTTAGCAAAGCATTTACATTATTTGCATGGTGGCAAAGGATTTACATGTTCATGTAAAGCGCCATGAAAATGTCTTAATGAAGTCAGGTTAGGCCAATGAAGAGGATTACCCAGCATGTAAGCCTAATGACAAAGGCCCACTGACCTAAAGCCTGTCTTAATGTTTTCTACAGTGTCTGTCTGGAATCATGTCCAGTCCATTTTTTTAGGGACTCTGCTGGAGACTAGACAAACCAACTGGACACTCAGTCTGATCTGGGAAAACTCTAGAATAAATATACAGTTGCCTACTAGCAGTTTGTTCATTTTGACTGTTCTTTGTTTATTCCATCAAATATCCCTAATGACATATTTTGGCTACTGCATGTTCAAGTGTTTCTGTCTTATGATGACGATAAAAAAAAAATAAAAAAAAAAAAAAATTAATAATTAAAAATAACAAAAAAAATTAAAAATAAGAATATTTAAAGTGTGCTTTTATTTTCAAGACAACATGAAATTTAAAAACTAAAATTCATATTTTAATTTTACAAATTAAATGAATAAAAATCCAATGTGTGTCCAGTATCCTTTAAGACTGATCACTGTGTAATAAAACCATTTGTTATTACTGTTATTGTTAAAACCATTTACATTACAATAAACCATACATTTTGCCCTCTAAATTTTGAACACCAGAAAAAAGCAAAGACAGCTCAGCCTCTTACCTTGTCTGTGCAGGTTAGATGGTGAAGTATGTAAGTGTGTGTTTCTAACTCACTGACTTACTGCCACAGCTTACTGCCAGTGACAATTACCACCGCCTCCGTTTACTCTCAGCCAATCAAACAGCAGGTCTAGTGTATTTGTTATGACAGAGATAAGAGGCTACTAATCATACTAAACTCTGAAAAGCCGTAATCATTTGTTTTTCCTGAGAAATAATGGTGAAAATGTTCTATAGCTTTTTGTAGATAAGTCCATATTAACATCCAGCCTGAGAAATGTTATATAAAACTAAACATATAGGCTACAGTATATAAAAATAACAACACCGTATATAACTATATAACTAAAAATTGTGACAACTAGTCCCAGTCTTTCCTGTAATGCATTGTAAATAATCCAAATAAGGCAAAATTCAAATTATATAATGTTTTTGTAAATTATAAATATAGTATTATGGAAATATAAAATGAAATTATATTCAAACTACACCACGAATTATATTTTATGCATATTTTCAAGCAATGTGGAATTTTAAAACTAAAATTCACTGTCAAATTTGAGTTCTGATCTTTAAAAATTTTTTAAAAAAAAATACAATGTGCTAAATAATAATTACTGAAATTATATTATTGTTATTAAATTATCATACAATATCATACAATGCATAGTCAGCTAAATGTTATTTAAAGGTGTAGGCCTGAATCTATTGCTCACTCTGAGAAATGAACTGAAATTTCACATGGCTGAATCAAAAAACTAATTTTGTCAAATAAAGTTGAACATTAGTTCATAAGTCTCCACAGAGTCTTCAAAAAATCACAATCAAATAAAGCTGCATATTTCTACATAAATCTCCTCACAACTGGCTGCATATAGTAGAGTCATGACACTTCTGCTCCCTTGCAAAGCATCCAAAATAATTTCATTAGTTAGGGTTGCTGGGGCTGGAAGTGTAAATATAATTTTTGGTCACATTTGGGAGTTTTAAAGTGAAATACACTGCGAGAGTAGTGCAGCAGTTCACTTCCTTTTGCATTAGACACAAGGCTAGGCTAATCCAGCGCTAACCTAAATCCACACAGATGAGTGTCCATATACTGCTGCTAATTAGAGATATGTCAGGACATCAGCCGTAGACATCCCTTTATCAGGTCATTCATTAAAAGGCATCTTTAAGAATGGCTAAAACGAACTGGCCAGGTGGTGTTAAGATACTTCAGATGCAATAAATAGACCGAAAGGAAAGAGGAAATGCTGGTTATTTTTTGTACCTGCTACCATCTCAGCTCAAACAATAGAAGTACAGGCAATGCCAGCGCCATGGGTTTGATTCCCAGGGAATACAGTACATTAATTGATTAAATTTACACATTTAATGCAATTTAAGTACTGTAGCTTTGAATAAAATGTCTGTAAAATGCATAAACGTACCTCTAAATAGCTCCACATTTATGTCCAAATGCTGGTGCCTTGGTGCTGACTCATGTATATAGCCTACTGAAAACCATTTTAAGGCCGACAATGACATCTGTTAGACAACAACTTTAGTTTATTTTTTTGTCAAAGAAAAACAGATGAGTCTGTACAAAATACATATCATAAAACAAAGCTGGTTTTATGTTTCATTCAATTTCAGTTCTATCAAAAGTGCTTCACGATCTTTCAGTTACCTGTAGTAACTTTACTTGAGTGTCTAGACAGTAACAAAACTATTGCTAAAATACCACAAAGCAAATTGAGCTCCTTTTCTGTTAGTTCTGAGCTTAGTTCCTTGAGTCATAATGTCGTAACCTATAGTGACTCAGTGTCAGCAGACCTTTATTCTGCTTGGCAGTCAGTGGAGAGGAGTGAAGGCTAAGCAGAGATCAGCCTCATCGTCCATATCCTGCATTAAGAATTAATTCCACCTGCTGAGGGAGGGAAGCACGTGCTCCTCGTTGCAGCTCTGCTGTACAGTACATATCAATACAATAACCTGCCAATCACCTGTTAGGGTTAAATATTAATTCATTACAAGAATGCAGACAATTCCATCTACACAGCATCTAACGTTGAAGTAGAAGAGCAAAAAATGTTAAAAATATACAGGGGACTATTTCATCTCAGAATATCTGTTGCTGAACCTTGTAGTAAAAACTATTTTTGTTTATGCATGTGAACTGTTTGATAAAATTAGCACTTTTTGAATCTACAAACCTTGTGAGAATGGATTTGTATTTTTGCATCATATTCAGTCTCTTGTCTTTTAACGTTTTTTAACGCATGCTTAGGATGAGGGCATCATGAGACCAAAAAATGCATAATATAAACAATTACACTATCACCTGTGTAACAGCTTAAATGATCATTTATCTTAAACCATATTTAAAGGACCCCATTCACTATTAATGGAGGGAAGCACGTGCTCTTCGTTGCAGCTCTGCTGTACAGTACATATCAATACAATAACCTGCCAATCACCTGTTAGGGTTAAATATTAATTCATTACAAGAATGCAGACAATTCCATCTACACAGCATCTAACGTTGAAGTAGAAGAGCAAAAAATGTTAAAAATATACAGGGGACTATTTCATCTCAGAATATCTGTTGCTGAACCTTGTAGTAAAAACTATTTTTGTTTATGCATGTGAACTGTTTGATAAAATTAGCACTTTTTGAATCTACAAACCTTGTGAGAATGGCTTTGTATTTTTGCATCATATTCAGTCTCTTGTCTTTTAACGCATGCTTAGGATGAGGGCATCATGAGACCAAAAAATGCATAATATAAACAATTACACTATCACCTGTGTAACAGCTTAAATGATAATTTATCTTAAACCATATTTAAAGGATCCCATTCACTATTAAATTACAGTTACATAAGCATGGAAAATAAATGTACAAGATTCTTTGCTTTTCTGCACATTCTACACAAAACACCGTTTATGAATGATTTCAAAGTTAACCACTTACCAATTTCAGATATTAATACTGCTAGATCCAAATTAGAAAAGAACTCTTCATTGTAAACATTCACAAAACTATGACCGTTTGCTTTAGAACATTCTCTATAAGAATAACTTAACAATATTTTATAAAACAAGGTTTTATACATAGAAACAACATTTGGTGATCGGTTTTACTGTCCTTACAATATTGGTACGGCAGATTTATGCTTTAAAACTTTACCATTTCATTAAGAAATGAACACAGTGGTCTTCATGTACAGTAACTGGTTTGCATTCCGACAGGAACTTTTGAGCAATGACTCTGTTGGGCAAGACGTCTTCTAAGTTTTGCATCAGACCAGAAAGATCCATTTGTGTAGAGTGCAAACAGGCAGATGACTGGACAGCTGTAACCCTTCACAAATACACTCGTCTCAGGTCCCTAGGTGAGGTGATAGTGTTGCACTGTGGACACAATTTCTTTGCTCCCTGCGAGAATGATAATTTGACAATCAATAACAACTGATAGTATTTAACAATCAAAAACAACATAAAGAGTTCACTTGTTGAAGTCACACGGTTGTGCAGGAAATCTTTTGTTAAGTACAGTATGATTCATGTTCATCTCACCAGGGTGCGAAGCCAGCATTCCTCACAGTGGACATGCCAGCACTGGATGGAGGTCAGAGGTACCGTGTAGGAGTCCTGAAAAAAGTATATGTACACAATAAAATTATGTGCATAAGAAAAATGTATTTTTCAGTTTTCATCATTGATAAATAAGACGTTTCTTGAGCAGCAAATCAGCATGTTGCAATGATTTCTTTAGAAGCATGTGATTTCAAAACATTAAACAAGTCTATTACTGACCACAAACATTTGAATAGTAATCAATATGTATTAATTTCATTTTATTCCGTTTTGAATACATATGCAAGGTCAAGCTTACCATGCAGATGAGACACTTGAATCTGTCCCCTCGTGTGAGCTGCTTCTCCAGATCTCTGATGCGTGTTTTCAGGGCCTCCAGCGTACTGAGGGTGGGGTCATCCGGTAAGCTAAACGAAACAAAGAACAAATCCATCAGAGATTGATTAGAAAGTCACAGCGTGCTGAGGGCTTTGTCGCTGAGGGCCACATGTTATGAATTCTAAATTACACACGAACGGTAATCAGAAGACAGATTGCATCATTAAATGAGGTGCATTCAGAAGCAAATTCAACATTGTAATACATGATAGTGAGCATCCCTATTGTATTTCCATATTGAACAGTAAAAATGAAGCACTGAATATGTGTTATTCACATATATAAATGAATATGCACTGACTGCATATGTCAATGTTCAAGTAAATGGATGCGAAGTGTGATTGGTTAGATAATCAAAGAAAAAACACAAAAGGTCCTATGGAAATTTTAAGTAACTTAATAAACCTAATAAAAGTACAATACAATTCCAAAAACTTTTAGTGTGGGCAAAAACAGCTTAAGATTGCCCCTTGTATCGGCCTTTCCCACAGCAGGTGAGGGACAGACATGTCACCGCAGTGTGCAAACATTGTCTCAGTGTAATTGCTTTATTAGCGTGTCCACACAGGGCTGGGCAGCAAGCGCCCCGCGGCGTACTGTCATTTGTCAGGAACGGTCCTCCTTCCCGCCTCACTAACCCTTCCTCACTCAAGTGTTTCCACTTCACCACAATTAAATAACACTCGCTCAGAGCCCCCTAATCCCCGGTAGGAACATCCTGGCCAACGCATCCCCATTTAATCAGCTCTCAGGAATTGAACTATGACAGCAGGGGGTTTAAGTGATCCATCAAAAATGCCTCATGTAATAGCCGCCAAATATAAGCATAATGAATGCTGGTTTTCTCTTGTAGCTGTCTGCTGGAAATATGAAATAACTGCCCTCGTCCTCAGGCTAAATACCTACTGGAGAGTGGTGACGGATCAGGTAGAAAAATATGCTGCAAAACAGAAATCTTGTGTTAAATGTAAAATTATATTAATATATTTTATATTGTGTGCGTGAGCATATATATACATACACATACATATATATACACATATACATACACATACATATATATACACATATATATATATATACATACATATATATACACATATATATATATATACACATATATATACACATATATATACACACACATATATATATACACACACATATATCAGAAATCTTGTGTTAAATGTAAAATTATATTAATATATTTTTATATTTTATATTGTGTGCGTGAGCATATATATATATATACATACACACACACATACACACACACACACATATATTTTTTTAAATATGAAAATCATGAGGCACCATGGGATATAGGCCTATACAGTATAATATAATATAATATTATAATCTAATATATAATTTGTGCGTGTGTGTGTGTGTGACAGAGAAAGAGAAAAGTCTTTCTCTTTCTCTTGTGATGATGCAACTTCTCTAATCTGTGGGTGGACATGCAAATACGTACAAATCACTCGCACATAATACATTCAGAATAATTACATTTAGAAAAAGTATTTCATAGTTTCCCTGCAATATGACACTCCTCGACTGATAAATGGATCAATCAAGCTGATTAATGATTCAAGTCAAACACGCTTCAGTGAACTTGCCAAAATGTAGCCCCGCTGAGAAAGAACTGATTCGTGTACTCTTATTGAACGGGTCAGCCATATATAATTCCTCATGTGTCCCTTCCATGTGCAAACTTGACCTCAGTTGCACGATTAGTAATGCTTGAAAATCTGTCCCAGAGCACACGGAAAGAAGTTCAAATTTCCCAACAGGACTTAAGAAATGCTGTATCGTGATCCTGCAGAGATCTCTTCCAAGAAAATGACATGGATGTTGGAGAGGAGAAGGATGGAGGAGAGTGGGTGGAGGCACTTGAATATTAACCTACGTGTATCTCCCACATGAGCATCACAGCTCAGAGTGTCTGGAATATATGCACAAACTACTTTCAAAAAGCATGCACTTGAAGTCACGATGAAACAGAAGTAGTGACAGATCCTGTCTCTGTATTGTGATTTAAAAAATTACAAATGAAACATGCATGAATGAATAGTTCACAATAAGATGTATAACTTATAAATGAATTTTCATTTCATGCTGACTTTAAGGTATACTTACATCTCTAACTCGCTGTGTATTATTAAAGTAGCATAGAAAAACTAATAATGTGCTGTTTGTGTGTGTGCATACTTTAAAACAGCTCCTCTTAACGCCTGCCTCTCCTCAGCATCTCTGGGTTCATTTCCTGAACAGGGAATCACATCCGCCTCTGTGTATCTGAGATCATTTGCTAAGGAAACATTTCTTATTATCAAAAATGCTTTCACAAAAAAAACAAAAGATCACTGCATGTTCTTGCTGTGCCATAAACTGTGCTGACTGACAGCAAAAATAAGGATACTGTGCTTTTCCATATTCCAAAGTATCATCACCGTCCACATCCAGATCTGCATCGCTGTCCTGATGTTCTTTCAGTGTGCTGCTCACCAAACCTTAGGACATTTGATATGAGAATTGATTAAATGACAAAAAACACAAAGCCTTACAGAGCAAGACAGCCAAAGGAACAGAGTATGAAATTCAAAAATAGGTCGAGATACAAATGCACCCTACTGATGAACTGCAAAGTGCTAATAAAATTAAAAGTGTTTTTAAGGACACAAGGGTCTATATGACCTTTGAGTCCTTTGTGATCGGCTCTGTCTCCGTTTTTGACCCCTGTCTAAGTGCTTTTACAGTAATCTCCTTCTCAAGAGGTTAACACCACTCCCATTACCTCACGTGTCTGTTGTGAACTAATCACACACAAGCTCTGTTGCAAAACTAAGTGAGCTGCCTTGCTGCTTACATAGTCGGTCACTGAACCTCATAGGTAACCGATTTGGGAACGCTGTGCATTGGCATTAACTCTACAAATAGGCTTGACATTTGTATTCAATTTCAACAAACTATTACTCTATTTAGCATGATGCCTACTAGTTTACATAAAAATATATACACTGTAAAAAATTATTTTCCATAGATTACTGGAGTACATTTTTACAAGAAAACACAATTTCTACTTCAAAATTTTAATTCATTGCTTTACTTGCCATTACTTCTGAGAGAAAATTGTTTTAAAGTAAAAACTACACAGTGGCTTTTTTTTTTCAGTGTAGCACATGGAGATTGGATAAAATAATCTGTTTTTATTTGCACTGTTTTTCTATTGATACATTTCAGTACTGCATTATTATTTTCACTGAGTTTGTCACAATGCATAATTGGACTAAGTACTCCTCTGTAGACAGTTTTTGTTTTCAGTTTTGGGATGTTAGCAACTGATTTCATCAAGTTAAGTGGCTTTTTTATTGTAGTTTTTTTTTTTAAAGATATTTGCCTTTCTAATTTGATACATGACTCCAATCTGACTCCTTATAAACATGGATTGATTTATATGGATGTATTTGTGTATTTGGCTTGTATTTTAATTACTGTGAATTGTTTGTTTGCGTTTCGTACCTCTGAAGCCTCTGAGAACAGAAACCATCTGTATTCTTCTCTGTTCGGCCCATTCAAACTCCCTCCCGGCTGACAGCACAGAGCCATCTTCAACAACACACACGCCGTCTCTCTGTAGAAAACACACAAATATCAGAATCTCTGGTGAAAATGTCTCCACCAGCCTCGAGACAACGCTTTCATCTGCTGCCTGCCCTGAATGCCCTCTTGGCATTAGGTCACAGCTGAAAGAAACAGAAAATAAAAAGAAACAGACATTTCACAGGCAGGTTTATAGTTTGTCTGATCCTTCTGGCCACATTTACCTGTCTTATACATCATACGACTGACTTAGCAGAACAGGACAGCTGACGCCTGTCTCATGCTGCCTGTCAAGTACAGACATCACAAACAGTCTGTGATCTGTCAGTGAAAGCAGATCTAGAGAAAATACAGACTACAGGGGAAGGAAGGTTCATTGTTTTGAATGAACAAATGCACAATGAGAAATAAGCTGCATTTTTTCATCATACCTGGTCTTCCTCTGCTTTCCGTCTTTTAAGTTTCCCAATGCGTGCTGTAAAATAAAACAATGAAAAAAAAAAACTCAACAAAACAGCTGATTTTTTACTGATGCTTGACACTTTTCATATTGTTATCTAAAAATATGAAGCATAAATACATTTTTTGATTTGATTTTTCTCCAGTAGCAGTTTTATGATGGAAATATATACGATCTCAAGCTGACATAAACTGATAAGACAGAAAGGCCTCTATGGCCTACAAAAGATAAATAAATGGCAAGGGAATTGGACTGATCTGTTTATCTGATTATAAAATAAAGACAAATAAAAGATTTCCAGAATTCTCTGCATCTTCTTCTCTCAAACACACACAGAAGAAGTCAAATTCAGCATTGTGGAACGGTATCCACCACTCCCATTAAAATCTCTGTGTTTTGCTGAGCTGCTAATGATGTTAAGGGACATTAATCTTTAGGAGCCTCAGCTCATAATATAGTGAAAGAAGACAGTAGAAACAGAGCTGAGGCTGTTACAATCACAATGAAGTTGAGCATAACAGAGAGGGGATCATTAATTAGAGCGAGAACCTGATCAATTTGCTGTGACCAATCGTCCAGTGCACCTTTTTTAGATGTTAATGAAATAACATAAAAATTAACAGTCCTGATAAATGATAGAAAATTCAACATGATAGAGTATCAATATTTCACAGTACAGAGCTTCAATACTCTGTGTATAACTGTGTCAAGGGCATAATATTACATTAAATACTATATAATTTTCATCATCTCATTCTACATCTGTAGAAGATGATTCTAAAGTCATTTTCTCCTTTAAGATTAATTTAAATCAGTGCTGGTTGGCATTCTAGATAAAGCTTCTTTATATACCTATAATTTTACTAAACACAAAACTTGATGTAAATAAAATAATATAGAGTTGGTAGTGAATCCGCTGTCATGTGCCGTGTGTGGAGAACAGCTTACCAGACAGTGGGCAAGAAGATACATGTGGGAATCCACAGTCAGGCCAAACATGAACAGATTTCACTTTCTGTTTGGCGTAGCACCTGCACCAGCAGAGCTCCTTAACTGTTAACATATAAAAAGGTTAAAGGTCAATAATCCGCTCTGCTCGTGAGGGTGCTAGGTCAAAGGTCAGGGGTGGTGCTTTAATTGTGAATGTTCAAACTGTGTTAGAAGTGTGATTCAAAGTGTACCAGTGCTGTCTGAGAACAATTTGTAATAATTACTGCATGTCATTTTGGTAACACTTTATTTTAGGGTCTCTTAACTAGTTACTTATTAGCATGCATATTACTAGAATATTAGCTATTTATTAGTACTAATTAAGCACATATTAATGCTTTATTCTACATGACCTTATTCTACATCCCTAATCCTACCAAATACCTAAACTTACCAACTACCTTACTAACTATTAATAAGCAGCAAATTATGAATTTATTGAGGGAAAAGTCATAGTTAATAGTGAATAAGTGTTTCCTATTCTAAAGTGTTACCGTCATTTTCAAAGAATGTCTTATGGAACTTGTATAAAAAAACTTGTATTAGTATTCATAGAGATACATGAATTTGGTCAGATCCAATGCATGTTTATGACTCTAGAATGACTGAAATGCAAAATAAGAAAGAGAAATACAGTGAGAGGATTTTGAGATACTGAAAGTAATTGACAACGTACCATTGAGTCTTGTTTGCCTGTTTGCTCGTACTCGCAAAAATGTCTAATGAAAAAAGAAAAACAAAAGGGAAGGTTCAAAATCCATAATCTCATACAAAAACATTACACCTAACATTTTATTTTAAAGAATAAGCCTTTAAGCCATCATACAACATTTGTTTTCAGAATATCCAGTTTCACAAATATGTCATATTGTGGAAGTAAAATGGGTTATAAACAGCAATTCAGGTATAAATCAAATTTTTTTATGTTTAGGATTGACCATACCCTGCAAACCTAAAATATAATGACCAATTTATACTATGAAAAATGGCAGCAAAAAAAGTAAGTGTGATATTATGAGGACAGCATTGTTTGTAAAATAATAAGCACAGTGCTCATTCAATAAATGCACAGCTAAACAGATGAATTTTGAGTCTGGATTTAAATGTGGCTAATGTTTTAGCACATCTGATCTCTTCTGGAAGCTGGTTCCAGCTGCAGGCGGCATAATAACTAAAAGTGGACTCCCCATGTTTTGTGTGAACCCTTGGAATTTCTAACTGACTCGATCCTAATGATCTGAGTGGTCTGTTAGGTTTATATTCGGTGATCTGCAATGTATTTAGGTCCTAGGTCATTAAGTGATTTATAAAAGAGTAAAAGTACTTTAAAATCAATCCTAAATGTAACTGGAAGCCAGTGTAAGGACCTGAGAACTGGTGTAATATGCTCAGATTTTCTGGTTCTAGTCAGAATTCTGGCAGCAGCGTTCTGGATGAGCTGCAGCTGTCTAATGGTCTTCTTGGGAAGGCCGGTGAGGAGACCATTACAATAGTCCACCTTGCTGGTGATGAAGGCATGAACAAGTTTCTCCAAGTCTTGACTGGAAACAAAACATCTAATTCTTGCAATGTTAGTATGCTGATTTAGCTACTGCTTTGACATGACTACTGAAACTAAAGTCTGGCTCCAGAATCACACCAACATTCTTGACTTGATTTTTAGTTGTTTGACCCCTAGAGTCAAGGTATGCAACTTCATCTTTGTTTTCTCCTTGTTTAACTGAAGAAAGTTCTGGCACATCCATCAGTTTTTTCCTTGTTTAACTGAAGAAAGTTCTGACACATCCAACTGTTAAAGGGGTCATATGATGCGATTTCAAGTTTCCCTTTCTCTTTGGACTGTTACAAACTGTTCGTGAATAGATAAGATCCCTAAAGTTGCAAAGACTAAAGTCTCAAACCCAAAGAGATATCATTTATAAAAGTTAAGACTCGTCCACGCCCTCCTAAAACACCTTTTTTAAACACGCTCCCACAGGTCTACGTCACTTTGTGGGAAGATTTGAATAACACCGATTTGTTTACGCAAAGAAAGAAGGATTTGAATAACACCCAAAAGTTTACGCAAAGAAAGAAGGCGTAACTTTGATTCTCGCTGTAGTATTGTTGCCGCCGCCGCCATGTCGTGGAGACGCTGTGTGTTTCGTTATGAAAGCGACAAAACAGATGAGTTTTGAGTCTGCATTTAAATGTGACTAATGTTTTAGCACATCTGATCTCTTCTGGAAGCTGATTCCAACTGCGGGCGGCATAATAACTAAAAGCAGACTCCCCTTGTTTTGTGTGAACCCTTGGTATTTCTAACTGACTTGATCCTAATGATCTGAGTGGTCTGTTAGGTTTATATTCAGTGAACATATCTGCTATGTATTTAGGTCCTAGGCCATTGAGTGATTTATAAACGAGTAAAAGTACTTTAAAATCAATCCTAAATATAACTGGAAGCCAGTGTAAGGACCTGAGGACTGGTGTAATATGCTCAGATTTTCTGGTTCTAGTCAGAATTCTGGCAGCAGCGTTCTGGATGAGCTGCAGCTGTCTAATGGTCTTCTTGGGAAGGCCGGTGAGGAGACCATTACAATAGTCCACCCTGCTGGTGATAAAGGCATGAACAAGTTTCTCCAAGTCTTGACTGGAAACAAAACATCTAATTCTTGCAATGTTTTTGAGATGATAGTATGCTGATTTAGTTACTGCTTTGACATGACTACTGAAACTAAGGTCTGTCTCCAGAATCACACCAAGATTCCTGACTTTATTTTTAGTTGTTAGACCCCTAGAGTCAAGGTATGCATTCACCTTGAGAACTTCATCTTTGTTTCCAAATGCAATGACTTCAGTTTTTTCCTTGTTTAACTGAAGAAAGTTCTCGCACATCCAACTGTTAATTTCATCAATGCATTGGCAGAGGGAGTCAATGGGGCTGTAGTCATTTGGAGATAAGGCTAGGTAAATCTGGGTATCATCTGCATAGCTGTGATAGGCGATTTGGTTCTTTCTCATTATTTGACTTAGTGGGAGCATATACAGGCTAAACAAGAGCGGTGCAAGAATTGAGCCTTGTGGGACTCCGCATGTCATGGACGTCCACTTAGACTTATGCTCTCCTATACTCACATAATAACCTCTCCCTTCTAAGTATGACCTGAACCATTTGATTGCCATCCCAGAAAGCCCGACCCAGTTTTCCAGTCTCTCTAGAAGTATGTTATGATCGACCGTGTCAAACGCAGCACTGAGATCTAGTAGTACCAGCACTGATATTTTGCCAGATTCAGAATTTAAGCGAATATCATTTATTATCTTAATGAGCGCTGTCTCTGTGCTGTGATGCGGTCGGAAACCAGATTGAAAATTGTCCAGGTATCCATTTGAGTTTAAGTATTTGTTCAGCTGATTAAAGACTACCTTTTCAATAATCTTGCCTATAAAAGGAATATTTGATATTGGTCTGTAGTTGCTCAATATGGTGTTATCAAGATTTCTCTTTTTCAGAAGGGGTTTAACAACTGCAGTTTTCAGGGAGTCTGGAAAAGTCCCAGAAAGAAGTGAGGCGTTCACCACTTCTAAGAGATCTGCTTCTAAACAGTTAAGCACCCTTTTGAAAAAATATGTGGGAAGTGTGTCAAGATAGCAGGTTGACGATTTAAGGTGCTGTACTATTTCTTCCAAAATTTTGCTATCAATGTCTTTAAAAGCAGACATAGTATCTTATTTTTGAAATTGCGGTCGAATCTGTCTGACCTCTGCATAACTTGAGGATGTGCTAATCGCCTTTCTGATATTATTGATCTTCTCAGAAAAGAAGGAAGCAAACTTATTGCATTTGCTGTTGGAGAGCATTTCACTGGGAATCTGACTTGGGGAGGTTTGTCAGTCTCTAAACAGTAGCAAAAAGAGTGCGAGTGTTTTTGTTTAAGTTACTGCTTATAAGGTTTGAGAAGGTCTGTCTATCTGTGGCTAGTTCCACATTGAAAGCATGAAGGCTGTCTTTATAGATGCTATAGTGAATTTCAAGTTTCTTAAGAAGAATGAAAATATAATGTAACATTTTTAGAACATTAATATTATTTTAAATTCAATTAAAGTCCAGTAGATGGCAGCACTACACTGAGGTCTGTCTCAAACTTTTGATTGACATGTAGTCCAGGAATGGGAAAAGTCCACACTTTAATTAGTTTGATTCTACCTTTAACTGATTAAAGTTCAATATGCTCTTCAAAAGAAGTGCAAGCTAATGAAGTTAGATGTATATAACGTGCATTTCGTGCTCACCTGGTACCTGTCGGAGTGCACAGCCTCATCAGCGGGACGTGGAGAGGAGGCAGAGGAGGAACCCTCTCTCTTTATGTGCATAGAGAACAGAGACTGAGAGAGGTAGAGCTGTTATTATTGCCTGTAGACATAAATAAATTGTACAAAACAAGCGTTGTGAAGTACATTGGAGAGTCCGTACCTTAGGCGGCCCAGCAGCGAGACACTCCTTTTGAGCAGGACCCTGACTGTAAACAGGAGAGAGTGTTATTAACACATATTTCATCACCACAATCCCATTACCAACAAAACTCAGTCTTGTTTTAAACACAAAGCTTGAATCAGAATATGCAAACATGCTCGGAAACGAGGGATCAGGTTGCATATTGTTCTCAAATGACATTTCCTTCACAGTCAAATAAAAATCATGTATAAAAGCTGTCTCCACTAAGGTCCTGTACAGCAGGAAGGCTCTAACACACCCTGGGGCCGAGTTCAATTTGACACAATTACTGTCCACAGCTCTGTCACTAAGCAGATTATGGCTATAATTTCTTTATTGGAGAAATCTTTCATGTGTTCAGAGTGGCTAATGTGCCGCCCTGCCTCGTCTGATGCTGATAGCAAACGTTGAGGAAACGCGTTATTAGCTTGCTATGATTTTCGAAGGGACTGCCTTGAGCTTGACTGGCTGTGAAATGTCAGGAACAATGTAACAGCTTGTAATTTGTGATGTTGCAATGATGAAGGAGACAGGGAGAAGGGTGGAAGCATGGTGCACATGCCCGGAGGCTGTAGATAAATATGCCATCAAGACCTGGAAGGTCTTGGAAAGGACAGGCTACAGGGAGGAGGTGTCAGGGAGTTTGTGTGCATCTATATGTGTGTGTACATATTCATTGGCTCAATCTGCTTTAATTCTGCCCTTCCTCCATCTCTCCTGCTCTTGTCTCCAGTTTTGATCTCTTTACTATGGGCAGCGATGCATTTTCATGAGCCTGGATGAAATTTGAGTAAGAGTGACAGAAGAGCATGCTGACTGTCAGCGGCACTTTACTGTCTATGTGCTCCGGCCGACACAAAGAGACTGAGGCAGTTCAAAAAAATCAAATCAACTCTCGACTGATCAGCTGATGATCTCAGATTGAGCTGGATGGATGGAAAAACAAAAGAAGACATGAGCGAAGCAGAGGGAGGTTGATAGATTATTGATTGTCTCAGTCATTATATGGATTGTATCATGTTCATTACAGAGGAACATGACAGGTTTCATTTTTGTCGTCTCCATGAGAATTGGAGGTGAAGAATGAGGTGGAAAAGAGTGTGATAGCAGATAGCATTGGGATTTATTTATTTAAATGTTAAATAAAACTAGCATTAATAAAATAAAAATAATAAAAAATAAAATAAATTATTGAATTTATATTACGCTCCAGCATCCCCGCAACCAAGTCGTTTGAAGTATTAATGGTTGGGAGGATTTATTTCTATATGGTTAGCATAAGTAACTAAGCAAGTAAATAAAATTTTTTTTTTAAGTTATTTATTTATATATTTTTTTAAATTAGGATTTTAGATTATGATGAAAATTGGGACAACATTTGGATATTATATTATTTTTATAGTTTTTTTTTTCTTAATTTTCTTTTAGATTTTTCAATTTAAATAATTAAATATTAGATATTAATATATTAATGTTAAATTAAAATGTATTCATTTCTTTCTAAATGGTTTACAAAAACAAAAAAACAGACAAATAAAGTTATTGTTTGAATTTTCTTAGGCATTTTTTTATTATAACAACAAAATGGATTGAAAAATTGGGTCAGCATTGGGATACTCTCGATTTAAGTATTTAATTTAAATTAAAAAAATGCTAAATATAATAATAAACAATGTTAAATAAAAAATAGATAAAATAAAATGCATTAATTTATACATGGATATATATGTGCAACAATTAAATTTTTTTTTTAATTTTTAATTAACGCGATTAAATCGCATGATTTTTCTGTGATTAATCGCATTGTTATGCACAAAATTCAATAATGAATTCAAAAGTAGTGTATTGTGCACTTTTTCATTTAAAAGTACAGCTATATATGAACAAGCGGCGCGGGACAACACTTGATGGGCGAGTGCGGGTGCGGGCGGGTAGAGACTCGTGTGTGCGGGATGCGGGGAGAATAAGGGCGTACTCACACTAGGTAATCTTAACCGTCCCCGAGCGCGTTTGACCCCCAAAGCCAGGTTCGTTTTTTACTAGTGTGATCGCTCCGGTTCGTTTAGCTGTTCTTGGTTCGGTTGGAAGAGGGGGGCCAGAGCGCGGTTCAGTTGGGCCCGGGCGCGGTACGCATGTAGTGTGAGCGCTAACCGCACCCTAACGCTGAACTTCTGATACATGCAGAATGATTGCGCTAGCATTTCTGAGCGGCAAAAATGATAGATCTGTAAAGCAATATATTGTGAGAGAGCCGTGTGTTACCGCGTCCCAAACGACTCAAAATAATAAACCACAAAGTTAACAAACGATGCACTCCACTGTGCTGATCAAGAGCGCTTATCTGCTGTCTATATATATTAAAAGACTGTTGTCAAGAGTGTGTTGAGGATGAACTGGAGGATGTACCTATTGTGCAGCTGCATTAGACGCTCCATCTCCTGCTCCATGTGTTCCTGCAGCTCTCCTGGCCGCAGCACAGCATGACAGATCGGACACATGGGCATCTGTGTGTCATACAGGGCCTTCACTTTACCTGGAGACAGGTGAGAGAGGGGCACACAAAAGAGACATGCTTTATTATTATAAACCTACAATGAGTATTAAAGAGAATTCTATACAATGATAAAAATCCTGTAGTCCAGGCAGATGTGTCACTTAAAAGAAGCTCATTAACATGACAGCAGAGACATCAACTAGCAATACCTGTCTCGAAGTGAGGCCATCACAGACTACCATGTGGCCACATGAAAGCAAATAGATGTGAATAAAACATGGATCTGCATATAAACGTCACCTGGAGCCATGCCCTTGACAGTCGGCCCCCCTGTGAGTCCCCTCTCTTTTAAATTTCATCTACGGTGCAGCTCAAATAAATTCACTGACAAGTACTAACTACTTGCATCTCTGCCTAAAGGCAACCAGCATCAGTAAACAATGAAATCCCATGGCTGAAATTGAATTTATAACCACATTACCTGCACAGATAACGTCAGCATATAACAAGATGATAAGAGGAATTTGATTTGATTCTGGGACAAGCACGTCTTTTCCCCCTCCTCCTGCTGGAGGGACTCTCATCGGGGGAATTTGAGAGAAATTTCTAAAATGATAATGTTATACCTTAACACGGATTCATTGCCTTAATTAATATACATGGAAAAACCTAAACCAATGTGTAGCTGCTTAAATCAAGGGGAAAAAAAGTTGTTAATTCTGAACTTTAAATTCTGAAAATTAATTCTGTAGTTCTGTTATTTTATGTTTCATCATAAATATCTAGCCTATATTGCTAAACATTTTATAAATAGTTTCCCCCCCCCCATATTGTTTGTTTTAAACTTTAATTAATTATATTTACACTACCATTTATATTGTGAAATATAAATTACAATTTAAAATAGCTTTTATCATTTAAAATACTTAACATTTAATTTATTCTTGTGATGGCAAAGCTGAATTTTCGTGAGCCATTACTCCAGTTTTTGGTCACATTTCTTATTATTTTCAATACTGAAAAGAGTCACACTCCTTAATATATGTGGAAAGCATGATACAAAATTCATAAGAACAGCATTAATTTACAATCTAAATAAAAAATGAATGAATGAATGGGGCATTTATATAGCACTTTATTGTGTATTGCTGTACACCAAAGCGCTTTACAATCATGAGTGTGTGTGGGGGGGGGACTGCAGAACTCTTCTAAAAAATTACTTATCCCAAACTTTTGAATGACTGTGTACATTTAAAATAAAAATGTAAGTGTTAACACACTCCTACCAAAAAGAAAAAAAGTCATGAAAATTAACAGAAAATTACTTTAAAAGCAAATAATAAACATTTTAATTCAGTATGTCACAAGAAAACAGGAAGTCATCATCCTTAGATAGTCCCATTGCATTTTTTCTCCAAGTTATAGGATGACTGCACATGCCAACATCCATATGACAACTGCCACTGTCATGATGGGAGACGAATTCTGAGACGGCCATGAACTGACCTTTCCAAAATGCCACATTTCATTCTGGCTTTCTGTCACATTACGACAATATGTCACAAGCCTGAAAAAGACAATACTAGAGGCTTGTATTTCACAGAGCCGCATGCAAAGGGGTAAACAGTCATATTACTGGAGGCCAGATGAACGTGGCTCTCTTGGTAATTGATTGACGTGAACTGTATTGGTTGCCATAGCTTTTTCAAAATGTCAGAATTCAAAATTCAGACAGCCAACGAGGTTTGAGATCACATATCAGTTTCTTATGTTCAGTATGTTAAGTAAAGTAACATTTTAAATTGGGAAACTACTTTGAATAGAATAGAATAGAATAGAATAGAACAGAATAGAATAGATGTGACATTTGAAGTCAAGTATAAAGGGAGGTCCCTTAACGATTTCTGCTATGATTTTGCCTTTCAATAACTCCATAATGGGCGCAACCTTTCAGTAATCCGAGGGCATGCGAGAGGCAGGCGACTGGCAGGGGGCTTGTTCCCTGGCAGATTTTCTGAGAAGAGTGGCAGTTATAAAACAGAATTGGCCCACTCCACACCTGCCATGAAGCCCCGTCAAGTAGCCTGAACCCGTCTGGTTCGTGTTTAAGACATCAAATGTTTCATTTTATACAGGGGATTTCATCATTCCTTCAATATGCTTTCTGAAGTGCAGGAGTATGCGAGCTCCAGTGAGTGTTTTTATTGAGGAAAATAATGGGCCATTGAAAAAGGCTATTTAATAGGCAACATAATAGGCAATGTAGCAACACATCTGCTGTGGAAAGTCATTTCCTTCATTTTCAAAGGTACTTTCTTGATTCAGACCTTCTTTCATTAATCGGCTTAGAAGCAGCTTAATCACTCTGGCACTGAACCAGGTACATGTGGAAAAAGGTCCACGTTTGCTGTTATTGAGGGTAATCAATGTCTGAAATTGGAGGCAGAGTGGAAATATTACCACAATAAATCCTAGAGCTCGGCTACAATTGCGAGAGAGAGACGTCGCACACTTGCATGTTCGATATTATAAAGCGATCTATTAGATTAAAGCGAAAATGGCTTCCATTAACATCCTTACTGTCAAGTCAATGAGCTCATTCTGTTCCTGCCCCCACATACTTTTACTGGACAATCAGTGTCTTGTTAATGAATATTTACTGAAAATTCAAATATATCAAAATATATCTCCTTTAAAACCACTCCTGCCAAAAAATAAATAAATAAAAATTATGGTACACAAATGTCAAAGAAAAACTAACACGACTATGCAACAACAACAGAAAGGCAGCTAGGACACAGAACTTGGAAATATTTGATTTTGATATAAATGTCTTCTCCAGCTTATTACTAACAATATATATTATTTTCGTAAAACAAACAAGGCACACAAAAAGCATGAAACTATAGGATGGGCTTGTAGGTTATGGTCTCAGATACAGAGGAGAGTGATCAGGGTCTTGGAAATCCCTCCATCATAAATGTCCCCATAAAGATGAGGGATAGACATCTATACAGCTGCCCGATAAAGCTGTGGCACTCATCACTCCAGAGAGCTGATTGCTGCCTTTAACTGTGTGCTGTGTCAAAGAGTTCAGCCCTGGAGAAACATTCAAGACCAGGTTCAGCTCTACAGGCAGACAAGTGAGTGACAACAAATACAAATGATTCACTGAGCTCAGACTCACGTGAATATCTTCTAAAATATCTAATGAAATTAAAGTCTTCTCTATTCTTCCATATTGTGACGCACATCCAAGTAATTTTTTGTTGTTGTTTTTTTGTAAAAGAAAAAATATAGGGTGGGTTCTAAGTTATTGACTGGATGAATGAGAGTTTGTGCAAAGCAATTAACTGGACAAGTCAGGCATAGTTTGTAGTCTCACCAGAAGATTGAGTTATGCCATTTTGAGGTTAAATTCAAACAATCAATCAATAAATAAATAAATAAACACTTCAAATAAATAAATTAAACATGTGCATGGATCAGCATTATTTTAGTAACAAGATACTATTATAGTTTTCACTAATGTTTGAATTAGTTTCTATTTTATATTTCCTGTTTTCATGATGTTATACTGTATTTCAAGTTTTTGCAATTTAATTTAGTCTTTTGTCATTTAAATTTTTTTATTATTATTTTTTTATGTGTCTACATGGTTTTTATACATTTTTATTTCAGTTGTAGTTATACTTAAAAGAAAAAAAAATGTTGCCTTGGCAATTATAAGGTTTAAGGTTTTTATTTTATTTTATTTGAAGTAATGAAAATGTTTTTTATCATTTTAGTCTTAGTGAAATATAATAACTGTGGCACAGATTAATTGTAAAAAAAAAAAAAGAAAAAAAAAAAGGAAATAAATAGGATGAATTTCCATTTCATGCACACAAAAAAACACCAAAATTATAGATGCATGATCATTGCAATACATTTCCTGACCCTGTGTATCCCAGCAAATATGATATGTAATCCTAAAATAACTCAACACAACTAGACTTGATCGTGTGACCACCATACATGCATTATCCTTTTGAGCAATCTTTTAACAAACCTCTGTAACCACAGCTCTCCAGCTCATCTATAGAAAATCAATACAATGCGTCCAGATCGTCAAGAAAAGCAGATATTTAGGCATGCAATCCTTTAAGATACTCAAGAGAGCTGACTATGGACAACCAGTGCTGTGATAAATCTCAAAATATGTGCATTAAGGCAGTTTTTTTTGAAGGACATTGTTTAAAAAAAAAAACTATCTCCTTTTTATTTTATTTTAAAAAGAGTTTTTACTTGTAAATAAACACAATATATCTTTATACCTGCTAATATCCACAGCATACAGCAATATGCTGCAGATTTGGGCTGGTTGTTAGCAAACAACTGGGTTACAGTGTGTCTCTTCAAAAGGTTATTTTGATAGTAATTGATATTGAGGGTGGGAATTGTTCTCTAGATCTTCTCAACAGGTTTAATTAATGAGCATTCAGGGAATCTTAAATAACAGAGACAGCCAGATCAATAGTAGTGATGAGCAAGAGAGCACTATGTGAAAGAGTGTTCAACAGAAAGCGAGAAAAACACAAGAAAATAACATTGGGGGAAAATGAACAAGATTGTGTAAGGTTAAACCTTTGGAGGAACAATTACACAATACACATAGCAACAATATGATGCAGTCAGCATGATATTCTAATGACACTCATTAACCCTCATAGACCATCATTCCACTCAGATAAACTCCCATTATTTGATGGGTGGGTGCTGCTTTTTTTATGGTCTCCTCAAGAACTCATCAGCAGGAGTTACAGGCTGTGATGTGAAGGCAGACACTTCAAATAAACCAAGTCTGAGAAACTGGCCAAGATGAAGTCGCACACCTGCAAACCAGAGGACAAGAGAGACAGTCCTGTCTAAAGTCCACACAGACAGAGTAACTGAAGTATCTGTACTACACCTGTGTGTGTGTGTAAACACATGGGTACAAATGTGGAAATGTGAATGAATGAGTGAGTGTCTATGTATACACATACCTTCTATATGCT